GCGGGCCGGATCTGGCCCCCGGGCCTTGACTTTGACACCTGTGGTGTAGAGTCTGCGTGATCTGCTTTGAGTTTTTGCTACAAATGAATTGCCCTTTGGGATCGAAGTTTTCTGAATCTTAATCGGACACGCCATGGACCAATGACACACCATGGACCAGTGACACACCTGGACACGCCATGGACCAGTGACACACCTGGACACGCCATGGACCAGTGACACACCTAGACACGCCATGGACCAGTGACACGCCATGGACCAGTGACACACCATGGACCAGTGACACACCTGGACACGCCATGGACCAGTGACACACCTGGACACGCCATGGACCAGTGACACACCTGGACACGCCATGGACCAGTGACACACCTGGACACGCCATGGACCAGTGACACACCTAGACACGCCATGGACCAGTGACACACCTAGACACGCCATGGACCAGTGACACACCTGGACACGCCATGGACCAGTGACACACCTGGACACGCCATGGACCAGTGACACACCTAGACACGCCATGGACCAGTGACACACCATGGACCAGTGACACACCTGGACACACCATGGGCCAGTGATACACCATGGACCAGTGACACACCATGGACCAGTAACACACCATGGACACGCCATGGGCCAGTGATACACCATGGACCAGTGACACACCATGGACCAGTGACACACCTGGACACGCCATGGACCAGTGACACACCTAAACACGCCATGAACCAGTGACACAGCATGGACCAGTGACACACCTGGACATGCCATAGACCAGTGTCACACCTGGACACGTCATGGACCAGTGACACACCTGGACACGTCATAGACCAGTGTCACACCTGGACACGTCATGGACCAGTGACACACCTGGACATGCCATGGACCCGTGACACACCTGGACACGCCATGGACCAGTGACACACCTGGACATGCCATGGACCAGTGACACGCCTGGACATCCAGATGTGTGTAGTGTGACATCACCTTCTGTCATGTGTGAGAACTGGACACCGTTAGAACAAAGGAGACACGAGAGGACAGATATGATGGAGCAGATTCTACACTGAGCGTTCTGTGAGGGGGGTCCACTTTCCTGAGAAACATTGTGGTATGTTTAGGTGTTTGTTTATATCACACAATTTCTCTATAACGGTGTGTCTCATTCTGTTTGGCCTCATTATCCATGTGTCCTTTCAGAACAGGTTATTCACTGTGTGTGTGTGTGTGTGTGTTTGTGGGTGTGGGTGTGCAGAAATAAATGACTTCCCGAGAGGGCCCGGGTTAAAATTACGCTTGTATAGGGATGGGAGAACCACACTGTCTAACCGGCGACCCAGGGGGTACATACCACGGGTCTCCCCGCGAGAGAGCAAGTGAAAACCGGCCTTATAAAGAGCCCAGGCTGGCCTGAGACCCAGGGCGCATTTCCCACGAGAAATAGCGTCAAAACCCGGGCTTAAATAGAGCCAAGGGCAGCTCCAAAAAACGCGTCAAAAATGGGCCTAAATGCACCACTGGCGAGCCTGAGACCCAGCGTAAGTGTGCGGAGGATTTAACCCCAAAAAAGGCCCTGAAATCCGGCTTGATATAGAGCAATGCAGGTCCCAGAACCGCGGAAAATCTGTGGAGGTTTTAGCCATAACCCTCGGACCCAGAGACCCGCTCTTAAGCCCCCCCTAAAGGCCTCCACGAGCACTCGGCAAAACTCAGTGTGCCTGGGACTACGTGGGGATTGTGAAAATAATTCTAAGTGCCATAACACTTAGTCTTATTTTCAAGTGTGAAAAAAAACCTAAGTGTTTAGGCTGTAGTACCAGCCACGTTTTAAAAATCAGACTAAGTGTTTTGAGAAAAAAACTAAGTGTCAGCCCGGGACTCTGTGGAGGTGTAATCCCCGAAAAACGTGTCAAAAAACGGGCCTAAATGCACCACTGGCGAGCCTGAGAGCCAGCGTGAGTGTGCGGAGGATTTCTCCCCGAAAAAAGCCCTGAAATCCGGCTTGATATAGAGCAATGCAGGCCCCAGAACAGCGGAGTCTCTGTGGAGGTGTAATCCCCGAAAAAAGGCGTGAAAAAACGGTCCTAAATGCACCACTGGCGAGCCTGAGAGCATTTTCAACGCATTGAAATTAAAGGGAAAAGAAGTCGGAAAGTGGTCGTTCTTTTGACTCCTTAAATGATTGCTTGGATGGAGGTGCTGGTGGAGAACAGAAGGGCCTGTTCCATCTCTGACCATAACCCATACTTCTTCTCCCGCCCGGGCGCAGACACCCACATCAGGGGATCAGACTCCCTACGCCAGGTAGCCAAAGAATGTGGTGCGGTGCATCCAGAGATGCTATCCTCAACCAAACTTACAAAGCACATAGCTACTATGTCTACAGTTCTCAATATGAAAGAGAATGAAATGGACATACTAGCCAACTTCCTCGGCCATGACATTCGCATCCACAGACAATATTACAGACTACCAGAGGGGACACTGGAGCTGGCCAAAATCAGCAAAGTGTTAATGGCCATGGAGCAGGGAAGAGTGACGGAATTCAAAGGAAAGAGCCTCGACCAGATACAAATTGAGCCTGAAGGTAATTCTTGATATTATTAAAATATGTATAATTTTTTTCCCCTAAAGGCCACTTGTATTTTTATTTTCTGTGCAACAGGGAGAGCAGTAGAGATCCTCTCACAAACGGACGGGCTAAAAGAAACTTCAAGCGGAGAACCTTCAACCATTCATCCAGATGCACCCCATGGTAGTGGCAGTGCCCCTTCTGGTAAGTGTACCAGGTGGGGGATTACAGCCAGGCTGCTTGGTCCTAACCCTGGGAGTGTATATTGCTAATATATTTTTATTTCTCTCCCTAGACTCCAATTTACTTTCTTTGAATTAGCAGTTCAATGTTCTCGAGTCCACTGCTGCTTTGCAGAAGTTTGGGTAAATCCTACCAGTTCAGAAGGAGTACGTGTTCAGTCCAACAGAGGGCGTTAACTCTCAGATGGATGTAGATCAGAAGGTCCAGGGAAGGCTCGCCATCTTGTTTCAACCTCGTGCTCAGAGATGATATAAAGTTGACTATTTCTCCAACCCACTCTGAACGGCCCATAAACATAAATGTGCATAAATACACATGATACATAGTCAGGTAGCTCTAAAATAAATAAGTCTGCTCTCTGTCTCAAAATGGCTGCTATCAGCACTAGTCCAGACAGTGAACATGTGCTCACTTGGATTGTGTGCTCATATTTTACCACAAAATAATCTCACGCACTTCTGCCTCTACTGTTCAATGTCCTGCCACAAAATGTCCCGTCATTTGACTAGAAAACATGGAAATGAAAGTGACGTAGCCAGAGCATTGGCTCTACCTGTGAAATCTAAAGCACGTAAACTTCAGTTTGATTTGATCAGGAATAGTGGAAACCGTGAGCACAATGTTGAGGTTTTAAAGGCCGGCATTGTAACTTTAGTCCCAGCTAAACAGCCAAATTCCCCAGTTAAATCCAGTGAGTTTTTGCACTGTATAGACTGTGGGGCATTGCTTAAGCGAAAGTGGCTGTGGAGGCATGTGGCCAGGTGCCGGCTTTCACAGAAAAATGCCCAGGCTAAACCAGGTAGAAGTAGGGTCCAGTCCCTCTGCTCCCTAGCCCAGCCTGTACCGGAGGGCATCAGCAAAAAGCTGTGCTCTTTAATTTGGGCAATGCATCAGGATGAGGTCACGGGTGTTGTCAAAGCAGAAAAGGGGATTCTGAGACTCGGAGAGCACCTGTACTTAAAACACGGGCATGATAAGACTAAGCATGATTACATTAGGCAGAAAATGAGAGAAGTCGGTAGGTTAATTAACGAAGCAAAAACGGCAGAGAAACTGAAAACAATTAAGGATTTCTTTATTCCTTCCAACTTTAACCATGTGATTGATGCAGTCAGGTCTGTGGCTGGATATGATGAGGAAACAAATCAATACAAGACTCCATCCTTGGCCCTCAAACTCGGCCATAGCCTCAGAAAGCAGATATTCTTGAATGTGACTCAAAAATGGAGCATTGTGTTGATGAACTATTTATTAAAAACCTCCAACGAAGCCGGCTGCTTTTTGAGAAGAGGTGGGACGTCTGTGTTTCTTCTGCTGCCCTACAGACCCTCCGGCAAGCCAAGTGGAACACTCCGGACCTGCTCCCTCTGACTGAGGACGTTAGAGCCATGCATGTGTGACGCCCAAACAATGTGTAGTCACATTTTATGGTGTTTTAGTTTAAGATATCCTTTATTTGAACTTAAAAGTATCTCCTTTATTAGTGTAGTAATGTGTTTTTGTTTGTTTAGAAGTGATTTTCACATTTGCGGGTGGGCCACCAGGGGGCGGTGTCGTGAGTAGTAGCAGGACTTTCCACCAGGACCCATCTTGGAGAGTCTTTGGTCTGCTCTGTTCTATAACATGAAGCGAGGCTGCACTGAGCGGACGCTCACGCTGTCGTCCTTTAGTTTGTCCTGTTTATTCAGGTAATATAATGTAAAACACAGTGAAAAGTACATACAGGATGACTGTAAACTGTTTTGGTCGTAGATCGCCGTTTTTCTGTGTGGAGTTAGAGGTTTACGCCACGTTAGACCACTGTTTTAAAGTTTGTGCGTTCGTGTACTTAATCATATTTGTTTAACCAAACTGTGAAGAACTTTGTGTTCTTGACATAACATTGGCTTAATTGACCAAATGGATCCTTGCTAAGGAGACTCGGGTCTGGACTCTGGTATCAGCCTCTCGTACAAAGTGTTCTTGACCTTCATAAGAACCACAGCAGCTGGACCTTCATCAGAACCACAGCAGCTGGACCTTCATCAGAACCACAGCAGCTGGACCTTCATAAGAACCACAGCAGCTGGACCTTCATAAGAACCACAGCAGCTGGACCTTCATCAGAACCACAGCAGCTGGACCTTCATCAGAACCACAGCAGCTGGACCTTCATGAAGATTAAGAGATCTTGCTGCTGCCGATGAAACTTGTTCTTTGGTTCATCGCTGGTGTCACTGCTGGTTCCTTGGTTTGTCGCTGGTGTCACTGCTGGTTCCTTGGTTCATCGCTCGTGTCACTGCTGCTTCCTTGGTTTGTCGCTGGTGTCACTGCTGGTTCCTTGGTTTGTCGCTGGTGTCACTGCTGGTTCCTTGGTTCATCGCTCGTGTCACTGCTGGTTCCTTGGTTTGTCGCTGGTGTCACTGCTGGTTCCTTGGTTTGTCGCTGGTGTCACTGCTGGTTCCTTGGTTTGTCGCTGGTGTCACTGCTGGTTCCTTGGTTTGTCGCTGGTGTCACTGCTGGTTCCTTGGTTCGTCGCTGGTGTCACTGCTGGTTCCTTGGTTTGTCGCTGGTGTCACTGCTGGTTCCTTGGTTCGTCGCTGGTGTCACTGCTGGTTCCTTGGTTTGTCGCTGGTGTCACTGCTGGTTCCTTGGTTCGTCGCTGGTGTCACTGCTGGTTCCTTGGTTTGTCGCTGGTGTCACTGCTGGTTCCTTGGTTTGTCGCTGGTTCGGTCTCTTCCCACATCTCAAACATCACTCCAAATATTTACTCAGTGCAGATGAACCACGCCCAAAGTACATCACGTATTCTGACTCAGCCTGAGCAGCCGGCCACTCGCTGAGGACTCAACTGACAATACACCAAAAAACAAGTAGGAGCCCAGTCTGACAGAGCCCCCGTAGCACCTGGAGGACTCTGTCAGTGCCTTTACACTAACAGCAACAACAGCTAGAATTCTCACGTACAGTATTTCCCAAACAGATATGAAGTGAAAACAAGGTCATCTGCCGGTCCTCCCCTCTGTCCTGGGCCGGCCTTGGAGAATGGGGGAGTGGGGGGTGAGGGGAACAGGGAGGGGAGGAGGGGGGGGCAGACATTGGTCCTATTGTCCCGTATTCAGACCCCACCATGAGTCTCCTACTGCCGCTGCGGTGCTGGTGCTCAGAAGCCAAACCAGGACAAGAGCCCGCGCCGGCCGGTTCTGGTCTGGGCAGACCGGGTCATGTGAGGGGACAGCGGAGAGGTAAGAACTCAGACAGGACGACATGTGACATCACAGACCCACCGGGAGCTAAACTCACACCGTTATCTACTTGGATTACTGCAGAAATGCTAAAACACATCTGGAGTAGTCTTTCATCCAGGCATGTGTCACACTGTTTGAAGAGAGGTGCATGGACTGGACGCACACTATGAAGTACTGTATGTTATTATTAGTATGTCTAGTACTGCACAGACCTTGTTGTACAGTCTGACAGGTGAGTGACGCTTGCCCGCTATGTGACATCACAATGGTACCTCACTGTAATGGGGTTCATCATCATAACAGGACAGTTGTGGCTTTTTAAAGTCAGAAGAACACTTTTGTGCACTGCTGAGGTTAGTTCAGAGGACTAATGCGGTCTCTCTCTGGTCTCTCTCTTTGGTCTTTCTCTGGTCTCTCTCTGGTCTCTTTCTGTTCTCTTTCTGGTCTCTCTCTGGTCTTTCTCTAGTGTCTCTCTGGTCTTTCAATTTGGTCTCTGTGATCTCTCTCTGGTCTTACTGGTCTATTTCTGGTCTTTCTCTTTGGTCTCTTTCTCTGGTCTCTCTCCGTACTCTGTATGGTCTTTCTCTCTCTGGTGTCTCTGCTCTCTCTCTGGTCTCTCTCTGGTCTCTCTCTGGTCTCTCTTTGGTCCCTCTGGTCTCTCTGGTCTCTCTCTCTCCGGTCTCTGTACTGTGTCTGGTCTCTCTCTCTCTGGTCTCTCTGTACTGTCTCTGGTCTCTCTCTCTCTGTCTCTCTCTGATCTCTCTCTGGTCTCTCTCTGCTCTCTCTCTTTGGTCCCTCTGGTCTCTCTCTCTCTGGTCTCTCTGTACTGTCTCTGGTCTCTCTCTGGTCTGTCTCTGGTCTCTCTCTGGTCTGTCTCTGGTCTCTCTCTGGTCTCTCTGTACTGTCTCTGGTCTCTCTCTGGTCTGTCTCTGTACTGTCTCTGGTCTGTCTCTGTACTGTCTCTGGTCTCTCTCTCTGGTCTCTCTCTGGTCTCTCTCTGGTCTCTCTCTCTGGTCTCTCTCTGGTCTCTCTCTGGTCTCTCTCTCTGGTCTATCTCTCTGGTCTCTCTCTGGTCTCTCTCTGGTCTCTTTCTGGTCTGTCTCTGGTCTCTCTCTCTCTGGTCTTCCCTTTCCCTCAGTCCTGCTCCTGCCTTTCCATCCTCTGCAGCTGTATTTTTCAGTGCATGCACGGCTTTTGACAGCTGCAGCAGCACACCTACAGCAGGTTTGATGTATCCGGTCTCTCTCTCTCTTCAGCCGTCGTGAGTTCAGATCATTAGTAAAGAGTATAAAGTGTGAGTTTGGGCTTTTACAGGAGGTACCACTGTCCTAAAGGAGAAACATAGCAGCACATATCACAACAGAAGACATTACCCACAATTCTACAACCATTTTCTGAACCAAAATCACTCTAAATTCACTTAGCTTTGTGTGGAACGAACGGCTAATTTGGACATAGTTATTAATCACACAATAACCGTGCTGACAGGCTGACACTGGGACACATTCTTCCCTTTCTGCGGACAGGGGCGTGTAGGGACCGGCCCTGAATGAGGAAGTAGTGCGGTGTGTTTGGTGGGAGTGGCCTGTGTGTGTTTGTGGGCGTGGCCAGAGTGGCAGGTCGCAGGAGGTCTCAGGCTTCAGCTCCGGTTCGGCTGTCAGAGAGAGAGAGAGGAACATGACGACCAACGGGCTGCTGCTGTGGACGCTGCTGCTGCTGGCGACGGTCCCTGGCTCTGGTGAGTGGACATAGCACCAGAGAGCATCATGGGAAATGTGTGTTTTAATGGTTTGTTGACTCATTGATAAGAATATAGACAGTGCCTTGCAAATTAATACATGTATACACTACAAACTCGTACTACATTATGTCATAACCATTTTATCTTCAGTATTTTTCTAAACTAAATACCAACCGTGATGTGAAAACTACTTTTGCAAATCCCACTTTTATTAATTTATAAATTCAAAAAAGAGGTCTGCAAAAGTGAACAGAGTGAGTCCCCAGCTCCAGCTTTTTCTTAAATATTCAATTTAATTATTTTTGTGCAGCCCTAAATCACAACAATACTTATCGCTTCGGACAAAACACAAATTGGCAACACAGATCAGAGAATAAAACACATGAAATGAAATTAATGAAATCTCTCTCTGGTCTCTCTCTGGTCTCTCTCTGGTCTCTCTCTGGTCTCTCTCTGGTCTCTCTCTGGTCTCTCTCTCTGGTCTCTCTCAGGTCTCTCTCTGGTCTCTCTCTCTGGTCTCTCTCTGGTCTCTCTCTGGTCTCTCTCAGGTCTCTCTCTGGTCTCTCTCTCTGGTCTCTCTCTGGTCTCTCTCAGGTCTCTCTCAGGTCTCTCTCTGGTCTCTCTCTGGTCTCTCTCTCTGGTCTCTCTCTGGTCTCTCTCTGGTCTCTCTCTGGTCTCTCTCTCGTGTCTCTCTCTGGTCTCTCTCTCAGGTCTCTCTCTGGTCTCTCTCTGGTCTCTCTCTGGTCTCTCTCTTGTCTCTCTCTGGTCTCTCTCTGGTCTCTCTCTCTGGTCTCTCTCTGGTCTCTCTCTCAGGTCTCTCTCTGGTTTCTCTCTGGTCTTTCTCTGGTCTCTCTCTTGTCTCTCTCTGGTCTCTATCTGGTCTCTCTCTGGTCTCTCTCTCTGATCTCTCTCTCTGGTCTCTCTCTGGTATCTCTCTCTGGTCTCTCTCTCACTGGTCTCACTCTCTCTGGTTTCTCTCTGTTCTCTCTCTGGTCTCTCTCTGTTCTCTCTCTGGTCTCTCTCTGGTCTCTCTCTGGTCTCTCTCTCTGGTCTCTCTCTCTGGTATCTCTCTCTGGTCTCTCTCTGGTCTCTCCCTTGTCTCTCTCTGGTCTCTCTCTGGTCTCTCTCTCTTGTTTCTCTCTGGTCTCTCTCTGGTCTCTCTCTTGTCTCTCTCTGGTCTCTCTCTCTGATCTCTCTCTCTCTGGTATCTCTCTCTGGTCTCACTCTCTCTGGTTTCTCTCTGTTCTCTCTCTGGTCTCTCTCTTGTCTCTCTCTAGTCTCTCTCTCTGGTTTCTCTCTGATCTCTCTCTGGTCTCTCTCTTGTCTCTCTCTGGTCTCTCTCTGGTCTCTCTCTCTGATCTCTCTCTCTTGTCTCTCTCTGGTTTCTCTCTGGTCTCTCTCTGATCTCTCTCTCTTGTCTCTCTCTCTATGGTCTCTCTCTCTCTGGTCTATCTCTGTTCTCTCTCTGTTCTCTCTTTTCTCCCTCTTGTCTCTCTCTGGTCTCTCTCTGGTCTCTCTCTCTGGTCTCTCTCTGGTCTCTCTCTGGTCTCTCTCTGGTCTCTCTCTGGTCTCTCTCTGGTCTCTCTCTAGTCTCTCTCTCTGGTTTCTCTCTGATCTCTCTCTGGTCTCTCTCTTGTCTCTCTCTGGTCTCTCTCTCTGATCTCTCTCTCTGGTTTCTCTCTGGTCTCTCTCTGGTCTCTCTCTCTATGGTCTCTCTCTCTCTGGTCTCTCTCTGTTCTCTTTTTTTCTCTCTCTTGTCTCTCTCTGGTCTCTCTCTGGTCTCTCTCTGGTCTCTCTCTTGTCTCTCTCTGGTCTCTCTCTGATATCTCTCACTGATATCTCTCTCTGGTCTCTTTCTGGTCTCTCTCTTGTCTCTCTCTGGTCTCTCTCGTCTCTCTCTGGTCTCTCTCTCTCTCGTCCCTCATTTGTCTCTCTCTCTTGTCTCTCTCTCTGGTCTCTCTCTATGGTCTCTCTCTGGTCTCTCTCTCTGGTCTCTCTCTCGTCTCTCACTTCTCTCTCTCTCTGGTCTCTCTCTCTGGTCTCTCTCTGGTCTCTCACTTGTCTCTCTCTCTTGTCTCTCTGGTCTCTCTCTGGTCTCTCACTTGTCTCTCTCTCTTGTCTCTCTGGTCTCTCTCTGGTCTCTCTCTGGTCGGGCGGCACGGTGGCTGAGTGGATAGCACTCTCGCCTCTCAGCAAGAAGGTCCTGGGTTCGAATCCCGGTCGGACCAGGGCCTTTCTGAGTGGAGTTTGCATGTTCTCCCCGTGTCTGCGTGGGTTTCCTCCGGGTACTCCGGTTTCCCCTACCACTAAAAATATGTCCAATAGTTCAGGCATGCGCCTCCTGTACTGGCCCTGCTCCCATCTCTGTGTGGAGTGAGAGACAAATGCCCAAAATTAACAATTGTAAACTGCTTTGAGACTCAGATCTGCAGTGAAAAGGCGGTATATAAATAAAGATTACTTACTCTGGTCTCTCACTTGTCTCTCTCACTTGTCTCTCTCTCTGGTCTCTCTCTCTGGTCTCTCACTTGTCTCTCTGGTCTAATCTGAAAACATATTTTTAGCTGTGCTTTTATCTCCCTTTTCATACCCACATTTTAATGAGAGTTTTAAGCCCAATACTTTTTTGCTACTGTTTTAATATGAAATGATTGTTTATTTAATGCATTTCTATCTGTGTTTTTTAATTGTTCTTGTGGAGCACTTTGAATTTCCTTGTTTAAATTGTGCCATACAAATAAATAATATAAAATCTCTAGCTTTAGCATAATAAAGAAGCTAGTCTAAAATCTCTAGCTTTAGCATAATAAAGAAGCTAGTCTAAAATCTATAGCTTTAGCATAATAAATAATGTGGTGAAATGACAAGTAAACATTATATATGTCTTTAGTCTGATTAAAGAGGTAAAAAAGAAATACTTAAAAACAATTACTAAAACGTCCAAAAGAGTTGCAAAACCTGGAGGAAGTCATGTTTTTAAGTTAAAGTCATTTCATGTCACTGTTTCACTTCCGTCTGCTTATTCTCATGACGTCACTGGATCGGCTTCTCTGATTGGCCAGAACGTATTATATATCAATCAATCAACTTTATTTGTATGGCGCCTTTCCAACACAAGGCCACTCAAAGCGCCTCACAACCCACATAATATCAGACAAATCAGAGACATCAATAAATACATTAAAAACAGACTAAAATCACAAGTAATGGAAAAAAAAAAAAAAAAAAAAAAAAAACCTTAAAATATTAAAAGCACACACGGGATTAAAATAATAAATAACCACAATGGATTAAAAAAAAAAAGAGTATGTATCAATAAAATCCTTCAGCCGTATGCACAGCTAAAAAGAACAGTTTTTAGCCCTGATTTAAAAATTGCCAGAGTAGATGCTAGCCTCACATCTTCAGGAAGATTGTTCCAGATTTTAGCTCCATAAATCTCAAACGCTGCCTCCCCATGTTTAGTTCTGACTCTTGGAACCAGTAAGAGGCTACCTCCTGTGCTCCTCAGAGTCCGGGCCGGTTCATATGGCACTAACAAGTCGCTTAAGTACCCTGGTGCGAGGCCATGGAGAGACTTGTACACAAGCAGTGCTGCTTTGAAGTCTATTCTCTGAGCCACAGGAAGCCAGTGCAGAGACCTGAGAACTGGACTAATGTGGTCATATTTCCTGGTCCATATAGGCCACACCTTTGTCTCTGCAGAAAAATCACATGGCACACCACAAACTGAATTTGATTAAAAAAATGAAAATATACAGCCTTATATGCCTTTACTAACAAGGTTATAGTTATTCTCATCAATGTGTATCATCGCAAATCAGACAAACACAATCTTTCTAATCAATCACAACAGTGGTTTTCTCAGAGGACTTTACACAGATCAGAGAATATAGAGGACATGGTTTTGGTCCGTAGGGAGTTCACCAATGTCCATAAATGTTGACACTTCATTCTTCAGTAATGAGCCGATTTAAAGCATTAGCGCAAACAGACAGAATCCATGTGTCTCAAGATGTGGCCTCGGGCAGAACTCTGAGGAAATGAAACGGTGACATCACTGCCTGTGGACACATGTACAGCAGTGGAAGCTTCTGCAATGGTGTAGAGTGAGATTGTTTAATGTTATGGATGTGATGGAAGAGGCAGATTGGAGCTGGTTGGAAAAGGACATTTCTGCAGAATTGAATGCAAATGTTGTTCACGCTTTCAACAATATTTGCCTTTGGTTTCCATCGGTTGCTGAGTTAGAAGGAAATCTGAGCTATCACGAGCTACAGCTGATTTCAGGCTCCGGATTGGTCAGTTGTAAGAGCTCATATAGATTTTCTCTGCTCTGGTCCAAAATGAAATGCTGAATGCTTTGATATCATTTTTCAAAAAGTTAGCATTCCTCCATTTCGTCTTTTTATCAGAAAAATCACTAATTCAGTCTAAGAAGAAGGTTCTTTATTCTTCCCACAATGGGGAAAAATCAGTTTGATGCATATACACACATACACATATACATATACATACACATATACATATACACATATATATACATACACATATACATATACATATACATATACACATATATATACATACACATATATACACATACACACATATATACACATATATACACATACATACACACATATATACACATACATACACACATATACACACATACACACACATACACATATATACACATACACATACACATACACATACACATATATACACATACACACATACACACATACACACATACACACATACACACATACACACATACACACATACACACATACACATATATACACATACACATATACACACATACACATATATACACATACACACATACACATATATACACATATACACATACACATATACATATATACACATACACACGTATACACATACATACACACATATATACACATACACACTTATACACACATCAAGTCAAGCAGCGAACATCACTTCCTCGCTCCTTATTTTGCCCAAGGACACAACGACAGCAGACCTCAGTGGGAGTCGGTGGAGAAGGTCTCTTGGTGGGTTCGAACCCACAACCTTCAGGCTCAAAGGCCAATGCTCTACCAACTGTCGCCCCAAGAAGAATCTGAAAGTTAGAGATTTTATGCTAGCTTCTTTATTATGTTATTTTTCTAAAGCTAGAGATTTTTTATTTTTTTTTGTATAGAGTTATTATTCATTTATATTGTGCTGTGAACTCCTCATTCTTACTGATGATGCAACACTGAAATTTCCCCGCTGTGGGACAAGCAGGATCTATGAAAGGATCTCTTCATCGTAATCTTAATAATCTTGTAACATGCTAACAGTACATTAGTCATTTGTATTTAGTGTTTAGCGTGTGCTGCAGTAGGTAGCATGCTAACTCGGCTAAGCTAGCTTTTATCAGCTGTTTGTGTGTCGACATGTGAAGAACAAACAAAACCTGTCTACTCTTTCATTTAAAGATTAACCAGAGAGAAAGGTGTAGACACAGGACTGATTCGTCGTTCTTACTGTACAGATGGATTTAGTGATTTTACAGTTTGAGAGTTTGACTAACTTTAATCACTCGCCGAGGGTCTTATGTTCAGGCCAGGACCCATTTGACTGGACACTGAACCCTTGGCTGTTTCCGCCACAAATTTGTATATTGCTATTTAAAGTGTTATCTGGAATAGTTTGAATATTGTCAAAATGTGCGATACAGAACCAACTGTGAACCATTATATATTTCTTAAACTAGAATATACAGTGTTTGATACTTGCTTCTTTATTTTGCTAAAGTTAGGGATTTTGGGACGACATTGGCTCACTTGGTTAAGCATTTGTCGTGGTGTGGACTTTTTGACCATTTTGACCTGGTTTTATTTAGCTATTTATGCTCTTTTACTTTAGAATGTTCTGGAAACAGCAGCGAGTCCAAAGTGTCTCTGAAACTGTTGTTTTTGTTTAACACATTTTATTTTTCCTGCTTTTTTCTGCCTGAGATGTTGCTGCAGTTCAGTGTTCATGGTTTTACACTGGTCCAGACCAGAGCAGAGAGGATTCATGGTTTTACACTGGTCCAGACCAGAGCAGAGAGGATTCATGGTTTTACACTGGTCCAAACCAGAGCAGAGAGGATTGATGGTCCTAACCAAGAGGATCAGGTGTAAATCCACTGGAGGAATGCTAACTTTGTGAAAAATGCTAATGAAGCATTTAGCATTTTACTTTGGACCAGAGCAGAGAAAATGGTCTGAACCAAGAGGCTACTCCACCTCTGCTGCTGTGACCCGTCCTGCTCCACCCAGAGACTACTCCACCTCTGCTGCTGTGACCTGTCCTGCTCCACCCAGAGACTACTCCACCTCTGCTGCTGTGACCCGTCCTGTTCCACCCAGAGACTACTCCACCTCTGCTGCTGTGACCCGTCCTGCTCCACCCAGAGGCTACTCCACCTCTGCTGCTGTGACCTGTCCTGCTCCACCCAGAGGCTACTCCACCTCTGCTGCTGTGACCCGTCCTGCTCCACCCAGAGACTACTCCACCTCTGCTGCTGTGACTCGTCCTGCTCCACCCAGAGGCAACTCCACCTCTGCTGCTGTGACCCGTCCTGCTCCACCCAGAGACTACTCCACCTCTGCTGCTGTGACCCGTCCTGCTCCACCCAGAGACTACTCCACCTCTGCTGCTGTGACTCGTCCTGCTCCACCCAGAGGCTACTCCACCTCTGCTGCTGTGACCCGTCCTGCTCCACCCAGAGACTACTCCACCTCTGCTGCTGTGACCCGTCCTGCTCCACCCAGAGACTACTCCACCTCTGCTGCTGTGACCCGTCCTGCTCCACCCAGAGACTACTCCACCTCTGCTGCTGTGACCTGTCCTGCTCCACCCAGAGGCTACTCCACCTCTGCTGCTGTGACCTGTCCTGCTCCACCCAGAGACTACTCCACCTCTGCTGCTGTGACCCGTCCTGCTCCACCCAGAGACTACTCCACCTCTGCTGCTGTGACCCGTCCTGCTCCACCCAGAGACTACTCCACCTCTGCTGCTGTGACCCGTCCTGCTCCACCCAGAGACTACTCCACCTCTGCTGCTGTGACCTGAAGGACTGTTGCAGAGCATTAGTAATGTTAGCTTTTTATAACGAACAATGTTATTTTTTTATTTTTGCTGCTACTGGAACCTGAACTTCTCCTAGTCACGGTGTTCTTCCTGCCCCGCCCTGATGTGATCCACCTGTGTCTCCTTCGTGTCCTCACACCCTGTACTTTCCCACTTGTCCGTGCATTGTCTCTCCCACATGTGTCTTGTTTTCAGTCTGGAGTGTTTGTTCTGACATTACCTTGGAACTATTTTGTTTAATTACATTTGATTTTCAGTCCTGCATTTTGGGTTCCCTTTTTCTCCCTTTCCCCACATGACAGCATTGGCCTTTGAGCCTGAAGGTTGTGGGTTGGATCCCCTCCACCGACTCCCTCGTTTGACTGCTGTTGTTGTGTCCTTGGGCAAGAAACTTAACCCTAGTTTGCCTGAAGCCCCCACTGAAAGATCAAAGGGCTCGGACTGCCACCCCCGACCCAGAAATGGATTAAGGGGAAGAAGATGGATGGATACAGTTATTGTTCATTCATCTTGTGCTCATTCGTACTGTTGAGTAACTGGTGATGCAACACTGAAATTTCCCCGCTACAGTACAGGATTTCTTCATCTTCATCATACATTCTTAAAATACTTTTTGTTGGCACTGACAAATTGTGTAAAACATGAAAAAGTTAGTCACCTCAGCTTTGGTTGTGAAATCCAGACTATGTCCCTGTGGTGAAGGCTGAGTGTGCCGTGGGCAGAGCTCCTGTCACTCTGGAATGAGGACTACGTCAGCTCGCCCCAGGGCAGCTGTGGCTTCACCTGTAGCATGGACTGAATTTGAGTCCAGTGTGAGACTAGAACCCCAGACTTTTAGACTGATTCTTGGAAATTACACTAGTTTTATTTTTCCTTTTGTAAAGCATCTTTGAGTGTCCAAAAAGCGCTGTTTAAGCTCTGAAGCTAAGCAGGGCAGGCCCGAGTTAGTACTGGGATGGGAGACCTCTGGGAAAACATCACTCACTTTTTCTATTATGAGTCTGGTGTGTGTGTGAATGGTTGTTAGTGGTTGGTGGTGGTGGGAGGGGCCGATGGCACAGACTGGTTGCCTCGCTTCTGTCAGTGTGCCCCAGGGCAGTTGTGGCTACAGTAGTATTTATCATCACTGTGTTTGGAGCAAAAGAATAAAGATATGAAGCGTCTTTGAATGTCCTGAAAAGCGCTAATGAAAACCGCTGCATCAGTTTTATTAGATATGAGCCAAAAGGATTGACCAATCAGAGGCCTCGATTCACGGGGAAACTCCAGCTCGCCGTAGCAACACGTCTGCTCCTGCTACAACAATATCATATAAGTGTGTGTTATCTGTGTGTCTGGTCCACAGCGAGTCCTGGTCCTGGACTGAACCTGGGAGAGGACTATGAGGTGGTGCGGCCGGTCAGACTCCACACGGTCAACAAGAGACACGCAGAGGTGAACCAGAACCTGATCAGGATTCTTTGGAGAAGTATTTATTGTGAATGTCTGTGGTTCTCAGCTCCACAGGCCACAGACGGTGAAGTACGCTCTGACTGTGGGAGGCCGAGCGCTGCAGATGCACCTGCAGAGGAACGAGTGAGTGCGGATCAGAGTTACATTAAAGCCCTGTCCCAACACCCACACTGGACCCTACGCTCCTCTATGAAGTGTGAATATGTTTGAAGTGCACGGGTTTGAGTGGCAGGTTAAAGCGTACAAAAAAGGCAGAATTGGGACAGTGCAGGCTACGTCATCGACTCATCAAGAGATGGACATTTTCAGATCTAAACTTGAGATATTTGTCTAATTTTAAGTTAAATGTGGGTAACTAACTGTTATCTGGTCAGTTTTTATACATCCTAAGATTATTGTACTAAGTTTAAAGTTTAAATTGAATGTTATATGAAAGCTTGGATTAAAAAAGTTATTAAATTATTACCATAGAATGTCCGTAATTCTTCATCAGACGTTTATGCTTCTTTCCAAGAAACAGCAAAACTTATTTACACACATAAAGCATATATATTTCAAAACTTACACTTAAATGCATTTTCCTGACGTTTTGGTGTGTACCGCAAAGAATTATGGGCAATATCCTTCGCCAGAGTCCGCTTAGATGCAGGCTACGGCGAAGTGTGGATCAGGGGCGCAAAGGGGGCGGGGCCAAAGACCTCCCTGGAGAATTGGGACTGTACCCGAAAAACGCATAAATGAGGGGCGCCAGGTTGGAAGTGCGAGTGTTGGGACTGGGCCTAAAACTGGATTTTAAGATTCTTTACAGTTTTTCTGACACGTGAAGCTTATTGAATAGAACATGTTATATTTTGATCCGTGGTCATAAAGGAAACATTATTATTATGGCCTGCTATTATTTATCTAAATTTGCCTCCCAACCAAAATAACTTGGACTCCGATGGTCTGAGGAGCAGTGTGTGTTCCAATAGGACTTGCCTCTGTGTCGGACAATATCGCAGATGCAGATAAAAACAACTCCTTTCAAGCTTTAGATGAAGGTGCAGTGATGAAACTCGGTTGAAAACGCAGAATTAAAGAATCAAAAATAAAAGCATATTATGTATTATTTAAACGACTTGTATCAATAACAAGAGAAAGAGGGCCACTTTAGTTAAACAGGCCGGTCCAGGGGCCAACAACCTGGATCTAAGCTCTATAGTTTGAGATTATGGTTCTGAAGCTGGCTGAACAGACAGAATACCATCTTACCAACTTGTCAATGGAATGTGAATAATAAAGATAACATTAAAGTTTTAATTATACTGCATATAAGCGCTACAGATTAACACACAAAACAACATACATAAAAACAAAAGCACATCGAATACCTGTGGTAAAACTAATATCAGAAAATGTAAATAAAGACTGAGGTGAAGGTTCCAGAGACTTGCTTCATAACAGGGTATTGCGTTTCTATCTTGGCTGAGCTGGAGTTGGCTGGATGACACTGTGAAATTTTGTTCATGATCTTAAAGACTACTTCCTGTTAGCCACTTACCCTAACCCAGAGGACCACGTAACATTACACAGAGGGCCGCAGTTGGCCCTCAGGCCTCGGTTTGGACATACTTTAAACTGCGACTGTGTTTAGCCCAGTGGGGGAGGGTCCCAGCTCAAAAGTGTCCAAAATGCTGTGCGCTGACATGCTGCAATACCACCCCGGGCCTGTGGGGGTGGACCCGGAATAAGTATTAGCCAATGCTAACATATAGCATTAGCTGACCTCTCAAAAACGTCTTTACAGGATGGTCCAAAAGTGGCTCTTGGCCCAAAGCTCCGTTCCACATGTGTGTCAATGCTGAGTGTTCTGGACCAGTCTAGTTTAGTCGCTGTGAGTTTTTGAAGTCACTCGTTCAAATGAATGGGGCTCGTGCAGCTGACGCATGCGCAGGTGCGTTTTTTCACATTTTCAGCTACAGCGGCCATTTTGAATCACTCCATGAAAGCCCAATTTTTGGCCCATTAGTTAGAACGGCGGAGATAGGCGTGACTACTTCTGTTAATATGTCCCTGAGAGTTGTAGTTTAGAGAAGAGCAGATCCTTTATTGGTCTCACAGTGAGGAAATGTCAGTGTTGCATCAGCAGTAACACAACAGTAGAATGAGGAGCACACAATGATAATAACTCTATACAGAAATAAAATAAAATCTCTTCTCACAATCTCTGTAGTGTAATGATGAAGTAAATCTAACATCTCTGACTTTACCACAAACAAGAAGGAAGTACAAACATCTCTAGTTTTAGCTTCGGTGTCATGAGGAAGAAAATCTACATTCAATAAATTACAGTAAGATAAGATAAAACTTTATTGATCCCACAAAGGAGACATTTACAAATTAGAAAATGTTTTACTGTTTCTTCACTGTTTCCTCTTTCTCATCAGTGAGTTGCTGACCGGAGACTACAGCGAGACTCACTACCTCCAGGATGGCACCCGCGTCACCAGGGCCCTGGACCACATCGTGAGAACCGGGAATCTCACTTCCTTAAATGAGAATCTAAAGCCACATTGTATCGAGTGTGTTTCTTCTCAAAGTGAAGTGTTGCTGTGGTTTTAGGATCACTGCTATTACCAAGGGACGATCGTGGGCGACAGGGCGTCTGCGGCCAGCATCAGCACGTGTGACGGGCTCAGGTCAGACCAGGAGCACGGCCACTGCTGATTGGCTGCTTCTGTACACACTGTATATAACACCACATTATAATGATAACAACAAAGTGTGTGTGTGTGTGTAGGTTTGTATGTGTGTGTGTTTGTATATATGTGTGTGTGTGTGTGTGTGTGTAGGTGTGTGTGTGTGTGTGTGTGTGTGTGTGTGTAGGTGTGTGTGTGTGTGTGTTTGTATATGTGTGTGTGTGTGTGTGTGTGTGTAGGTTTGTATGTGTGTGTGTTTGTATATATGTGTGTGTGTGTGTGTGTAGGTTTGTATGTGTGTGTTTGTATATATGTGTGTGTGTGTGTGTGTAGGTGTGTGTGTGTCTGTGTGTGTGTGTGTGTGTAGGTTTGTATGTGTGTGTGTGTTTGTATATATGTGTTTGTATATATGTGTGTGTGTGTGTGTGTAGGTGTGTGTGTGTGTGTGTGTGTGTGTGTGTCTGTGTGTGTGTGTGTCTGTGTCTGTGTGTGTAGGTGTGTGTGTGTGTCTGTGTGTGTCTGTGTGTGTATGCGTAGGTGTGTGTGTGTCTGTGTTTGTGTGTGTGTGCGTAGGTGTGTGTGTGTGTGTGTAGGTGTGTGTGTTGTCTGTGTGTGTGTGCGTAGGTGTGTGTGTGTCTGTGTCTGTGTGTGTGTGTGTAGGTGTGTGTGTGTGTCTGTGTGTGTGTGTGTGTGCGTAGGTGTGTGTGTGTGTCTGTGTCTGTGTGTGTGTGCGTAGGTGTGTGCGTGTGTGTGTACATGATGAAAAGGCCAGAGCCAACACTGCAGATTTTGCAGTATTAAAACAAAAAAATGAGTAACCCAAAATGTTTTTCTCAGTGAAAAACACAAACGTCTGAGAAAAGGGGAAGGAAACATTAGCTACACTTCAGCCTTTTTCCTTTTCCGTCTTACTCTTAGAACGATAGAAATCCTGGTTTTATTCCTTGTTTTGTCGTTAATGATTTGAGAATGATAACGAGACCTTTTTTAGTTCTGCGCCACATGGTACTTTACCAGTGAGATTAGCTCGGCCACATGGTACTTTACCAGTGAGATTAGCTCCAGGTGGTGAGTTCTGGCGCCCGGATCACAGACTTTCTGACATGCGTGTGGAGCCAAACAGAGAGACATTAGACAAAGTAATGACCTTTGTTAGTATTTTTAAATAAAGTGCCGTCCAGTGAAAATCTTAAGGACGGCACTTTATTTCCATTTCCGTGTCGTTTTTGGGTCATATTTTCTAGACTGAGTTTAATGCAGTTTATGGTCATTTACATTTTCTGTCCCTGTTTGGGATTTTCTAAACTAACTAACTAGAGAGTTAACACAATCATTCTGTATTTCAATATTTCTCATTCATTTAAACGCTCACAAATTCATTCATACATTCACACGTGCACACTCACACACACGTGCACACAACACACACTATTTACATATGGGGACAGGTTTGGTTTGTTTTTTTAGCCCGAGGAGAAAAATCTGAAATATCCTCGTTTCCGAGAGAAGTGCGTTTCAAAGTTTACAGCTTTGAAAGAGATGTCGAGTCAGAAACAGTCCTACAGTTATTCTGCTGATGTTTGTCTCTGGATAAATGTGTGTGTTCGCTCCAATGTTTGAGTGTGTGTGTGTGTGTTGCAGTGTGAGTGTGTGTGTTGCAGTGTGAGTGTGTCTGTGTTTTTGTGAGTGTGTATTTATTTGTGAGTGTGTGTGTGTGGCTGTGTGTGTGTGTGTGGCTGTGTGAGTGTGTGTGTTGCTGTGTGATTGTGTGATTGCACCATTTTAATGAATCCAAAAAATGACAGAGACGGTCGATCTAAATTGACACTATTCTTAAAAATAAATATGCAAAATCATGAATGTTTGGCTGTTCCCAAAGCCTGGAGACCACAGACCCCCCCTTACCACCGGGTAGCGTACCAACATTGATTTTCCTCGGGCTGCATTTTACCAACATCAAATAAGAAAATCAAGCAAAAACAGTCCTCATTTTATCAGCAAAATGTCATAATGATAAAATACAGATTAATTAATCTTGGAGACGTTTCCTGTACTTATTCCCCTCTGAGGTCCATAGAGCTTCTGTAAACGATGTAGAGCTGTTCCAACATGTGCTGCACTGCTCTGTTCTCAGAGGGTACTTCAGGACGTCTGAGCAGCGCTACCTGATCGAGCCGCTGACCTCGGAGCCGGACGGGGATCACGCCGTGCAGCCGTTCCCTCAGGACGAGGGTCAGGGTCCTGAGGGTCAGGGTTCGACTCCAGGCGTGTGCGGCGTCACCAACACCACCTGGGACGAGGACTACGAGCCCCCGACCGGCCGCAGCCGCTCCAGGGCAGCTGTGAGTGTGGACCACCTCAACCAACCATCCACACAGGAACTATTTTGTTTTAAGATTATATTCACACAAGGCAATCATAAACAATCACAGAACATTAAAAAGAACGATACAAATATAAAATATCTCAGTTGTATGCACAGCTAAACAGAACTGTTTTTAACCTGGTTTTAAACATTGTCAGAGAGGAAGCCTGTCTCACATCTTCAGGAAGATTGTTCCAGATTCTAGCTGCATGAATCTGAAATGCAGCCTCCCCATGTTTAGTTCTGACTCTGGGCCTATATGAATATCGATGAATACACATACACTACTTATATTCATACATTTACAGTATATTATGCATGTATGTATCTTTTTAGTGGTAAGGGAAACCTACACAGACACAGGGAGAACATGCAAACTCCACACAGAAAGGTCTGAAGGTGGACCTGAACCCAGGAGCTTCTTGCTGTGGTATAAACAAATAATATACATTTCTGTGTTTTAGGGAATCTCCATCGTCCAACAGCAGAAATACTTGGAGCTGTTTCTAGTGGCCGACAACAGACTGGTGAGAGCTGCTTCTATCAATGTCACTATAAACTAAAAAACGTCTGGTTTTAAAGTGTGTTTTTTCTTTCAGTTTGAGAAAATGAAGCGAGACATGAGCGAGCTGAGGAAGAGGATGTTCGAGGTGGTGAACTTCGTGAACATGGTGAGTCACGGCCTGAGCCTGTCGTAACGTCTGAGTCAGAACGTCACGCTTCCATGACGCTGGTTTCAACGTGATGCAGGTGCAAGATTTTTTATTTAGCAACAGTCAAAGACAACCCACAGCAACCGACCAATCAGGAGCCTTCTTTCACAATCGGCTCCATCTCGCTCATGACGAGACCTGGAGCGGTTGGAATAAAACAATATTGATGTTGGAGCAAAGCCACAGTCACCTCGAGCTTTAATTGACACGTGAGAAAAGAAACTCAAATTACTGGAAATAAAATGTAATTTATTTGAATCTAAATCCAGAGAGAAAAATAAAACACAACATTCCAGAACTGAAAATAAGATCAGATAAGACAGACTTTATTGATCTTACTTTTGGCACAGACAGAATCACTCAGATCAAAAAGACAGAAGTGTGAAACATGTAGACAGGTAAAAAATATATACAGTCTGTGCAGGATATGATTATGTACCATGTAAGAGAGATAGTCCCCAAGAATAAATGTGTTCTGGACAGACACCAATAACACACAGGGTATAGACACACACAGGGTATAGACACACACAGGGTATAGACACACACACGGTATAGACACACAGACAGGGTATAGACACACACATGGTATAGACACACACACGGTATAGACACACACACAGGGTATAGACACACACACGTTATAGACACACAGACAGGGTATAGACACACACACACGGTATAGACACACAGACAGGGTATAGACACACACACACGGTATAGACACACACAGGGTATAGACACACACAGGGTATAAAGACACACACAGGGTATAGACACACACACGGTATAGACACACACACAGGGTATAGACACACACACACGGTATAGACACACACAGGGTATAGACACAGACACGGTATAGACACACAGACAGGGTATAGACACACACACGGTCTAGACACACACAGGGTATAGACACACACACAGGGTATAGACACACACACGGTATAGACACACACACGGTATAGACACACAGACAGGGTATAGACACACACAAGGTATTGACACACACACGGTATAGACACACACAAGGTATTGACACACACACGGTATAGACACACACACAGGGTATAAAAACAGGTAAAGGTATTGAACAAGCCCACACCATGGCTCTGATTGGTTAAAATGTTCTCAGTGACATCATCAGTGACATCATCAGTCCAGGGGATGAGGGCGGGTCCGGGTGATGGAAAGTCCTGTTGTGTTTTCAGGCGTACAAACCCATGCGGACCTTCGTGGCACTGGTCGGTCTCGAGGTCTGGTCCAACGGAGACCAGATCTCGATCACTCATCCGGCCGGAGAAAACCTGAACGCCTTCATGAACTGGAGAAACTCTGAGCTGGTCAAGACCAAGAAGCATGACAACGCTCACCTCATCAGGTCGGATCCCAGGCACCCGCACCCACCCACCGCACCCGCACCCGCCCACCCAGGCACCCGCACCCACCCAGGCACCTGCACCCACCCAGGCACCCGCACCCACCCAGGCACCAGCACCCACCCACCCAGGCATCCGCACTCACCCAGGCACCAGCATCCACCCACCCAGGCACCCGCACTCACCCAGGCACCAGCACCCACCCACCCAGGCACCCGCACCCACCCACCCAGGCACCTGCACCCACCCACCCAAGCACCTGCACCCAACCAGGCACCTGCACCCACCCACCCAGGCACCTGCACCTGCCCAGGCACCCGCACCCACCCACCCAGGCACCCGCACCCACCCACCCAGGCACCTGCACCCATCCACCCACCCAGGCACCTTCACCCACCCACCCAGGCACCTTCACCCACCCAGGCACCTTCACCCACAGGACTGAGGTTGACGATAGTTACTTTGCCAATGTTGTTTTGGTCTTCTTTCAGTGGGATAGACTTTGAAGGAGCCACTGTTGGACTGGCCTTCGTTGGGACGCTGTGCTCGGGGCACTCAGTTGGAGTTGTGCAGGTAAATACAAACATCTACATAAGTAATACTTATTAATACAGCGCATTTCACAGACATAGGCTACACAAAGGCCTTGAAATGTTTGTTTTCAGGTTTTTCCCACTCCCACACACGTGACGTCAGAAAACACAATCCATTCTCTCTCATTACATTGGTTCCTACTGAACATGTGTCTAGATGTCGGACCTTCTTGCTGTGAAGCACAAGTGCTAACTACTGTATATCCAAGACTGTGCAGCAGTGTTGTGTAAGAGAGGGAGGGACTTCTTCTGTGCTGCCATTAGGCTTTGCATTCATTGCATCATAAATGTGTTTGGTTCAGCGATTGAAGAGTCTTGTCACTGAACCTGCTAAATGTCTGTTGTTTTTACTCAGCGCACTAAAGTATTACGAAATGTTTTGACGATTTTTTATATCTGCATACCTACTCTATTTTTACGTTTCTATTTTTACGTTCAGCCACAGGGCGACAGTGGCTCATTTGGAAAAGCATTGGCCTTTGAGCCTGAAGGTCGTGGGTTTGAGCCCCCGTGAGACCTTCTCCACTGATGTCTGCTGTCATTGGGCAAGACACTTACCCCACTTTGCCTATAAGGAGCGGGGAAGTAATGTTCGCTGCCCTGATGTGTAAAAGTGTGTCATCATCAAACTGAGGACTTTGTTCTTCTTTTTAGAACTTGTTTGCATCAAGAGCCAAAGTAATTTCCTTTGTGGCTTCCTCTTGCTCACAGTGACCAGTGTTCGGCACGCTACTTTGAAAAAGTAATCAGTTATTTTTTCCGCTGGAGTCCTCCTCACTCTTCATCTCTCTCCGTCCTGTAAGCACAAAACACCAACACTGTGAATGTGAATACCCAATGTCTCTGATTGGCTGAAGACATAATCTATAGATCAGCCAATAATTGCTGAGAGGTTTTCTCATCCTCCCTTCTCTCATGACAACACGGGTCCTATCATGAAGTTAAAAAAAAGTTAATTGTGCGACTTGAGTAACGTGCAGTAACGGGGTGTCGGCAATGATCACAGCGTTATAGTTACAGTCAAAGTAATTATTTAGATTACTCGTTACTGAAAAAAGTAACGCTGTTAGTAACGCCGTTTGTTTCAATGCCGTTATTCCCATCACTAACAATCACCATACAAAGACATTTTATTCTGATTCTAATTAAAATAAAAGTATTTGTAGCACTCAGAGCAAGACGTTAGTGCTTCGTCATTTTTAAATTAATCTAATTGATCTAAAAAGATGTACACACTTCAAATATGAATGTGTCTGGCCACATGTTTCCTCTCTTACAGATACAGTTTCCTTATCTGTGTGTTATTGGTGAATCTGTGAATCTGTGGTGTGTGCAGGACCACAGTGGCCGGGCCATAGCCGTGGGGGCCACTCTGGCCCATGAGATGGGTCACAATCTGGGCATGAATCACGACGACTCAGGCTCCTGCGTGTGCACCGGGGACAGCTGCATCATGGCCCCGTCCCTCAGGTGAACAGGCAATGCACTCGACAGTGAGGAAAACATAAACCAGACATGTTCAAACGGTTTAGTAAGAGTTAGTTAAAGGTCCCACATTACGCTTTTTGACTTGTCTCTGCTTTAAAGAACAGTATGTGGTAATAAGTGGTACTGCAGCCTCTCCCACTCTCCCTGACTCAGGTTGCCAGATATGCAGACGAATCCAGCTGGGACCATAACAGCTGAATAGACAAGAGTTTTGTCAACAACAAATCTATAACCAACACCTTTTTCACAAAGTCCTGGTTTTATTCCTTGTTTTGTCGTTAATGATTTGAGAATCATAACGAGACCTTTTTTTGTTCTGCGCCACATGGTACTTTACCAGTGAGATTAGCTCCACGTGGTGAGTTCTGGCGCCCGGATCACAGACTTTCTGATTGGTAAAACAGTGACAGGCAGGACATTGAAATGAAAACAAAAACAAGATTTAGAGGCTGGAAAAGTAATTTATAAATCTCTGAACTACAGTTATCAGTTAAAGAAGTATTGGAAAAGAGCAGTTTATTATTATGACAGATTAGGGCCCTCTAATGATGACATTACAGAGCTGTAGTAATAGCTTTTTCATTGATTCCCTCAATCTTTAGTAGAGAGCGATCTTTCTCTTTCATTCTCGAGAGCAGCAAAACAACCAGATTCACACTGATGACGAGCTGCAGAAGCCCCGCCTCCAGGAGGTGATTGACAGGCGTAGAATCCAAACAGCCCCTTTCTCGAGTCCCAGTAAAAGTGTTAGCCTCAAGTCAACTCGGACAACTTTTATATGTGACGACACTATTTGGCCCCAAGACGAAGAATGCGGCTGAACTGGTAAAACGAGTCCCGACAAAGTTTTTGGTGGTATTTGTTGACTTTTTCAGTTGAGAGAAATAACATGTATAGTGTTGCCACCTCTCCCAGTTTTACCCGTTTGGTCTTCTTTTTCATGGTCTGTCCTGGGGCAAAAAAAAAATTCTCCTGGGACGCTTATTGTCTTGGTGTTACTATTTGATGCGTAAAACCAACAAAACCCCCTTGCACAGACAACATATAAATGATGTAGCGCCGCTCAATCATTGGCCGAGGCACGTCTGACACATAGACTGTACATATTAACGGACGTAGTCACGCCTATCTCCGCCGTTCTAACTAATGGGCCAAAAATTGGGCTTTCATGGAGTGATTCAAAATGGCCACAGGGGCTGGAAAATTCGGAAAAACCAGCATGTCAGCGCACGTCATTTTGGACACTTTTGAGCCGGGACCCGCCCCCACTGGTTTGAGATCAGGTGGCGGGACAGCGGGGGTTAGGGTTAGGGTTAGGCAGAAGTGGCAACAACAGAGGATCAGTGATTCAGAAACAGGTCACGCTCTCTGCAAAGAGGAAAAACTGCAGCTCCAACGGGTTCAGCCAGAAAAATACAGCTGGAGTCGGGTTACCAGCTCTGACAAAAATCCTGCACATTTCAGTAACATGATCAACCCATTTTCTCTTAAGCAGCAGCACTTTGGTTTTCACACATTTAATACAAGCTGTATGTGTGTGTGTATGTGTCTGTGTGTATAAATGTGTGTGTATGTGTCTGTGTATATATGTGTGTGTATGTGTCTGTGTATATATGTGTGTGTATGTGTCTGTGTGTATAAATGTGTGTGTATGTGTGTATAAATGTGTGTGTGTGTATAAATGTGTGTGTGTGTATATGTGTGTGTATGTGTCTGTGTATATATGTGCGTGTATATGTGTGTGTGTATATATGTGTGTATAAATGTGTGTATAAATGTGTGTATACATGTGTGTAGCTACAACGTGCCGCAGAGCTTCAGCAGCTGCAGTGGGACTCACTTTGAGAAGTACCTTTTGAACCGTATCCCCAGCTGCCTCCAGGACAAACCCGACTTCAGGAGTGTGGTGGCGCCCCCTGTCTGCGGCAACGGCTTCAAGGAGACGGGCGAGGACTGTGACTGCGGCTCCGTGGAGGTACGCACAATATGTCACAAATCAAACACATTTGTTCAGCCCTAAATCACAACTCAGACAGACTTTATTGATCCACAGAGGAACACTGTAGATTGTACACTATTTCCACAATAAAAAGTAAAAATAACATTAAATAATAATCTGAAAATAATAAGATAAGATAATGTTGTGAGAAAAGAAACAACAATATTAATCTTGGAGAACTTTAGAAAACCGTTGATTTACAGATCATACAGTCAGTCGGAGCAGAGACCGATGTCCGTAAATAAATAAATATAGAAAGAAATTACGTTCCAAGTTAAAAATATACAATAATAAATAATACGTCGGCTTCTGAGGACGCTTCACATGTTGTCATTCTTTCTCTCCAAACACAGTGATGATAAACTACTACTGTAGCCACAGCTGCCCTGGGGCACACTGACAGAAGCGAGGGAACCACCACCAACCATTCACACACCAGACTCATTCTAATGTGGGGGAAGTGTCTTGCCTAAGGACACAACCACAGTTTGACACTTTACAGCCGCAGCCACCCCACTGTGGCACCTGGTGTTCCCAGAGGTCTCCCATCACAGCATTAACCAGGCCCTACCCTACTTAGCTGTTGTTGATCAAGTAAAAAGAACTGAAACCATTAAAAGTTAGATTAGGGACAAATCCAGATTCAGCTTCTGCAAGTCAGACTAAAACAACAGCGGGTGATTCCAATACCATCAAACTTTGAACTTAAAAAAATATATATTACATTATTAAAATTAGCATTTTCTTTTTTTTTTTAAATACACGACTAAAAATATAACATAAGACATTTGAAATATTGATGTAAAAAAATGAGGATTTAATTTGACATTTTATGCATTGTGGGACTATTTGTTTCCAATCATGTACATTCAATGGCTTTTTTAGTTAATATTAATAATAATACATTTTATTTGTGGGCGTCTTTCAAAATTCCCACGGTCACCTTACAGGCAGCATAAAAACAGCATAAAACACACATCAAAAAATACAATACAATACAAGGCCCAGAATTAAAAGACAGTGTGGAGTGGCAGAAGTTCTGTAGAAAGAAATGAGAAATACAGTGTGGAGGATTCTGTGGGATAGGCGCGTCTGGAAAGCTCAGTTTTGAGTCGAGATTTAAAGACCTTATGACGGGTTTGATTTATTTAGAAATACAGTTTTAATACCATTTTATATTAGAAGAGAACTACTAAAGGTTTCAAAATCAGTTGTTGTTTTTTTTGTCTGATCCCCCCATATCAAAATAACCCCATAGCAACGCCCTTAGAAACGAAAAAACTTCACAGCCCCAGGTTAGAGCATAGACAACTTAAATTCATGAAAAACACGTTCTTTTTATAAAATATAGGATTTTTTTTTGCCGGAATCTCTTTCAAATTGACATTGTCATGCAATTTTGATATCCACTATTTTTTTTTTAAAAACCCGTCATAAGGTCTTTAACTGTGGTGATGGAGACTATTGCACGAGTGTCTGGGAGAGATGATTCCAGAGTCTGGGGCAGAGCGGCTGAAGGCCCTGAGAGGCAGAGGAGGAGCGGAGTGGGCGGGAGGGTGTGTATGTCTGAAGGAGATCTGACCGGTATGGAGGTGCGAGGTTATGAAGTGCTCTGAAGATGAGGAGGAGAACTTTGTATTCTATTCGGGAGGGAATCGGTAACCAAGGCAGCTGTTTGAGGATAGGAGTGATGAGCCGAGCAGGAGGAGTTTTGGTGATGATGCTGCTGTGTTCTGACCCATCTGAAGTTTATGGACGGATTTGTTTTGGAGACCATAAAGGTGTGAATTGGAATAATCAAGGCGGGATGTGACCAGGGCATGAACCAGTGTAGCTGTGCTGTTAGTAGAAGTAGTAGGTAATTACTAATTCATTAATAATAGTGCATTTATAAGTTTTATCTGTTGCACTGCAGAATCCTTCATACTGCATTTGTTACTGTCTTGAAAAAACAAAAAAAATGTACACAAAGCAAAACTTCCATCCAGAACATTCCGTGACTTCCTGATGGTTTTTGTCTCTGATCCTGTTGAAGCGTCTGAAGCAGATCTTTTGACATCACCTGGAGCTTAGAAAGTATTTCCAAACATTCTGCTCCAATGATCAGGAAGCACATTCTTTCAGAAACGTGTCTCTGCTCGCGGCTCCGTAAAATCACCCGCAAGACGCTTTGAAGACCTCACATTCTTTGTTTACACTGAACCGCGAGTACAAAGCGTAATGTTTTGTTTTTGTTTCATCATAAAGAAGAAAAGGTGGCTCCACTTTTGGGCAAGAGTCGAGCTGCAGCTGTCTGAGTTTCTCTCAAGTTCACACAATATAATCACAAAGAAGGATATACGAATATGTCAAACTGTGAATTTGGTTATGAAAACAAACGCGTCGAGAGCGGGGGCGGGTGCAGCGTCAGGGATTAGCTTGATACATGGAGCAGCTAGCATAGACGTTAGCCCAGGTGTCTCCAACCTTTTTCACCCAGAGAGCTACTTTCCCGAGACCATAAAGATAGAGGGCTACTCCTTTAAGCCCTATTTAAATTGTGACATATTGGTGTGAAAAAGCTTGATATTGGGTACAGTCATTATTTATCATTGCATATTTGATACTAGTGCTGCAAAGAACTTGCATCTACAATAATAAATAAGTATAATGAATAATACAATCTGAAATATTGTGTATATTTGTTCATTTCTAAATCCTTTTGCGAGCTACTGGTGGCCCCTGAGCTACAGGTGGGAGACCCCTGCGTTAGCCCGACTCAAAGTATCAGGACCCAAAACCAGGTCCAAAAAAATAACCAGAAGTGAAGGACCTGTAGTTATGTAGTTTATTTCTAAATATGCTGTTGCTACTTGTATCAAACACATGACAAACAAATGCTCTGGTTTGTTAGATTTGGTTGAACAAAAATAGAATATATCGTTTTGCTTAAGTTTCTGTATTCACTAATTACTCAATGTTAAATAAATAAATAATAAATGGTTTGTGTTTGTGACAGGAGTGCACCAACCTCTGCTGCAACGCCTCCTCCTGCTCCTTCAGCGAGGGCTCCCAATGTGCGGAGGGGGAGTGCTGTGAGGACTGTAAGGTGAGGTTTCTCTCTGGTCTCGCTCTAGTCTCTGTCTCGGGTCTCTCCCTGGTCTCCCTCTGGTCTCTCTCTGGTCTCTCGCTGGACTCTCTCTAGTCTCTCTCTCTGGTCTCTCTCTGGTCTCTCTTTGGACTCTCTCTAGTCTCTCTCTCCGGTCTCTCTCTGGTCTCTCTCTGGTCTCTAGTCTCTCTCTCTGGTCTCCTTCTGGTCTCTCTCTGGTCTCTCTTTGGACTCTCTCTGGTCTCTCTCTAGTCTCTCTCTCTGGACTCTCTCTAGTCTCTCTCTCTGGTCTCTCTCTGGTCTCCTTCTGGTCTCTCTCTCTGGTCTCTCTCTGGTCTCTCTCTAGTCTCTCTCTGGTCTCTCTCTGGTCTCTAGTCTCTCTCTCTGGTCTCTCTCTGGTCTCTCTCTGGTCTCTCTCTGGTCTCGCTCTAGTCTCTGTCTCGGGTCTCTCCCCGGTCTCTGTCTGGACTCTCTCTGGTCTCTCTCTCTGGTCTCTCTCTGGTCTCTCTCTCTCTTGTCTCTCTCTTTCATCACACACACATGTCTGAGTGTTGCGGCACAAGTCACAGAACAAAAGGAAAGAGTCTGTGTACAGATGGACAATGCTAACCCGCTAGCTAGCGCACAGAATGCTCTAACTCGCTCTGGTGTCACACTCATGTCGAACGTTCTCTATAATCCGTGTGTTTACATTTCAATCTTGTCTTTTAAATCCAGGTATCAGCGAGGATTGACCTTCATTTGAGGGGAAAACACTAGCTTGCCTTACCAACCGCCTTAGCAATCGTCTTAGCAACCGACTTAGCAACCGGCTTAGCAACCGTCTTAGCAACCGGCTTAGCAACCGTCTTAGCAACCGCCTTAGCAACCGTCTTGGCAACATGTCTGCCCCTGTCACGGGGCAAAGCTAACCCTGTCCAAACCAATGCCCATTTAAGGAAATGAGCTCTATATGTGGCTATATTAAGGCTATTTAACTACGTTGTGAGACTATTTGTTTACAATTAAATATATTCAAAGACTTATTTAGTTCATAATTCATTTCATAATTATAGTGCATTTTATCTGGCTTCTGGTATCTTCCATAATGTAATGTCCTAAAATGTCACAAAAAAGTTAATTTGCTTCACATTTATTGAATTTTGCTCAAAGAAATCAGGATAGTTCCAAACATATTATAATTTTACATTATTATTATTTTCATATTAGAAAAGTAATTATCATTTTGCAATTATTTTTGTTTGGTCTCAAGTCCTGGGCGGGTCTCATGAGTGTGTTCTAATCTGAGATGTTTGTGTGTCTGTTGCCTGTCTGTTGTGTGTCTGTTGAGTGTTCTGTTATATTGTCTGTTGTGTGTATATGATATGCTTTGTTGTGTGTGTTTGTTATATGGTGTGTTTGTCTCTTGTGTGTATATTATATGCTTTGTTGTGTGTGTCTGTTATATGGTGTGTGTGTCTCTTGTGTGTCTGTTATATGGTTTGTGTGTCTGTTATATGCTTTGTTGAGTGTGTCTGTTATATGGTCTCTTGTATGTCTGTTATATGGTTTGTGTGTCTCTTGTGTGGTCTATTATATGGTTTGTTGTGTGTGTCTGTTATATGGTCTGTTGTGTGTCTGTTTTATGGTTTGTGTGTCTGTTGTGTGTGTCTGTTATATGGTCTGTTGTGTGTCTGTTTTATGGTTTGTGTGTCTGTTGTGTGTGTCTGTTATATGGTCTGTTGTGTGTGTCTGTTATATGGTCTGTTGTGTGTGTCTGTTGTGGGTCAGATCCTGGGTCGGTCCCGTCAGTGCCGGCCGCAGCAGGACGAGTGTGACTTGGCTGAGTTCTGTGATGGGAAGAGTGCGGTCTGTCCTGAGGATGTGTTTGGCGTCAACGGAGCTCCGTGCGACGGCGCTCAAGGATTCTGCTACAACGGACAGTGTCCCCAGAGACTGAGCCAGTGCCTCAAGATGTACGGCCCAGGTACCGACCAGGACCAGAACTTCTTTAAATGTTTGTTATCATCTGCGGGTGCTGGCCATAGACTGTAGTCACTCCTATCTCCGCCGTTCTAACCAATGTGCCACCTCTTTCGCCGTCTATGGGCTTTTTCAAAATGGCCGCTGGGGCAGGAAAATGTGAAAAAACGCACTTGTCAGCCGCAGGAGCCTCCTTCATTTAACGAGTGCCTTCAAAACTCCACTGCGGCTAAACTAGACTGGTCCAAACAGAAAACACTTTCCTCTGGATTGACAGCATCTGGAACGTAGCTTTGGGCCAAGAGCCAACTTTTGCACCATCCTGTAAAGCCGTTACCAAGAGGTACAAAGATGCTATACGTAAGCATTGAATTATTCTTATTCTGGGTCCACCCCCACAGGCCCGGGGTGGTATTGCATGTATGTTAGCCCACATCATTTTAGACATTTTTGGACAAAAAGGTCCGAAAGCACGTGCGCTGACATGCTGTAATCTGGGTCCCTGCCGGTGGGGGTGTACAGGAAACAGAATTATCCAACTATATTTTATGGTGCTCTTTTTCCTCTCAAACACAGCTTTAGAGCCTGGTCCACAAGTCGCTAAGTTACAATTATTGACTCATTATTACTTTCATTATCACTTTTTGCAGTGTGCATGAATCAAAAAAACATCTCCAGGTCTTTAATGGATGAGGAACAATGTTTTGCCTGGTTCTATACCTGGTCCTGTTTGAGTTCTGGTTTGGACGGAACAGTATGTACAAGTGTGAGAGGAGGTGCTAAAGTCACAGATGCTTTGCTCTGTGTTGAAATGTAGCATATGTAACTTAGGTTTTTAAATGTTGTATTTTCTCATCATGAACTTGTGTCTCAGGAGCCGTCGACGCTCGCCTCGGCTGCTTCTCCCAGAACTCCAGAGGAACTTACTACGCCTTCTGCAGACGCCCTGCTCAGAGCACCTTCATCCCCTGCCAGGACGAGTGAGACACCTCCCCACTCCTCTTCTCTCCTCCTCAGACCTCCTCACTCCTCTTCTCACACTTCCTCTCTCCTTCTTTCTCTCTCCTCACAGCTACTCTACTCCTTCTCCTCTCTCCTCCACACTCATCTTCTCTCCTCCTTCACACTCCTCCTCTCTCCTCCTCACTCCTCCTCGATACATCCAAAGGGGCCCAGACCCAGATTCACCCAGGTCCATTCATCATTGAAACACATTAGCATTAGCTTTGTTAGCATACCTCCATAAATACACTTGAAGGCTGCCTCCACAACCCAGCCATGGATAATGTGGAAGAAAACAGATTAATTAAAGTAAATCTTACATAATTTTTCCATATGAACTTTGTTTTCTTTCTGCAGAGATGTGTTCTGTGGGAAACTGTTCTGTCACAACGGGAAAGACAGCCCCAACTACGGCCGCATGGTGCGAGTGGGAGACTGTAAAGCCACGTTCTACGATGACTTCACCAAAGACTTCGGACAAGTGGACCCTGGGACCCAGTGTGGGGAGGGGAAGGTAGGACTGGGGGGAGAGCGGGGGGTAGGACTGAGGGGGGAGAGGGAGAGGAAGGACTGAGGAAAGTGTGTAGGTGTTAAATATCTAACGTAATTAGTTAAATACTGTACACATAGTTTTCAGAAATAAAATCAACAATGAATTACTTTTTAATATTTGTCCTGTGTATTCTCATGTCCAGTACTTATTTGTCTCTTTCTTTGGTGTGTGTGGATGTGTGTTGCAGGTGTGTAGTCAGAACGAGTGTGTGGACCTGGAGACCGCATACCGCAACACAAACTGCTCGGCCAAATGTCCCGGCCACGCGGTGAGACCCTCTGAGACCATCAAAGGTCCTCTCTGGTCCTCACAAGACCATGTGACGTAGATTTTATCGGCAGTTGTTACAGGACGTGGTCAGTCGGACGGATCGGGCAAGACCCATCAGACCTATCAGACCCGCCAGACCCATCAGACCCGCCAGACCCATCAGACCCTTCAGACCAATCAGACCCATCAGACCTATCAGACCCCTCAGACCCTTCAGACCCATCAAACTTATTCTTGGGTTTCATATGACGTCAGGGCAGCAGTGAATAACAAACGTAGGACCGGACGTTACGTATCCTGGCGGTGCAGTCTGCAGGGTTTATACACAGAAATATAGTAGAAGAAGAAGTGGTTTATAGACGGAGATATAGTAGAAGAAGAAGCGCTGTCAAAATGCCATCTTCTTGTGCGGTGAACGCTTGTAGCAACCGCACAAATAGAGAGAAAGACAAGTTTGTTCATGTTCCAACTGTGGTCTCATATAAAGGAGGACACTTTGAAAACATCACTGGAATGAGGCGGAGGTGGATCAAAGCTTTCCCAGATAAGCGCCCCCTGCAGGCCACCCCAATGAAACGCAGGAATTTCTTCTGTTATTTTTTCCAAAAATGCCCGAAATCAAGACTCTTTTGAGAAATATTTGTTAGTACTTCCTTAGAATTGAGTGTCCCCGATTAAGACTGTTCCAACAACCGTACACCGCACAGGAGGAGAGCCTTTGACTCCAAAACAGACTTTACATGGTTTTCAATGGGAGCAAAGCTGTCTCTGCTCATGCGCCCCCTACAGGCCAGTTTAATGAAACACAAGAATAGGACCCATCAGACTCAGACCCCTCAGACTCAGACCTATCAGACTCAGACCTATCAGAGGTACCAGAGGCATTAGAACAAACATGAATGACATCATGAGAATCTATGTTAATACTTTGCTGTCACATCACTGACGTGTGTGTGTATGTGTCCAGGTGTGTAACCACAGAGATGAGTGTCAGTGTGAACCCGGCTGGATGCCTCCCACCTGCGACACGAAGGACGGAGACTTCTCGCCCGTGTCCACAGGTGAGACCCTCTGCCATTTTGATCCTCTGTCACTCAAGTGCTCATTATCACAGAGAGACGCAGAGTTATCACATCACAGAGAGAGAGAGACGTAGAGCTATGACATCACAGAGAGAGAGAGAGACGCAGAGTTATGACATCACACAGAGAGAGACGCAGAGCTATGACATCACACAGAGAGACACAGAGCTATGACATCACACAGAGAGACACAGAGCTATGACATCACACAGAGAGAAGCAGAGCTATGACATCACACAGAGAGAGAGACGCAGAGTTATGACATCACAGTCTATACAGACACAGGTACATATAGACACAGAGACACAGGTACATATAGACACAGAGACACAGGTACATATAGACACAGAGAGACACAGGTACATATAGACACAGAGACACAGGTACATACAGACACAGAGACACAGGTACATATAGACACAGAGACACAGGTACATACAGACACAGAGACACAGGTACATATAGACACAGAGACACAGGTACATACAGACACAGAGACACAGGTACATATAGACACAGAGATACACAGGTACATACAGACACAGAGACACAGGTACATACAGACACACAGAGACATCAATGAATTCAGACGTGTTTTCTGAAGATGAAGTTTGTGATGATGGTTTGTCCTCGTCTCTGTCCTCAGGGGTCATCGCTGCCATCTGTGCCGCGGTCGCTCTGCTGCTCCTCGCGGCCGTCGTGGGAGTTGTGGTTTTCATTTGGAGGAAGCGCCGGGGTCCAGTCTTACCCACGTGAGTTCACAGCCTCATGTTGATGTAAACAATGGAAAACTGGACTCAGCCTCACAGCTTAACATCCAGTCAGTCACATCAGCAGCTTTTTACCGTCTGAGAATCACCAAAAACACATCAGAGATTCTCATCCTGCATTTGTCTCCAGTCGGTTAGACCAGTGTTCCCCAAACTTTTTGAGCCGTGGTACAACTTTTTCATTTAAAACAATCACATGACACACCACCAGCTGAAACTGAAAAAAACGGATGTTACTCGGCAGCTTTAATTAACAAAACAAAGTCATTCTCATCAAAGTGTATTACACAGAAAATCAAAAAAGAGTCAGGAGTAAACATGGCATTTCATGTGTTTGCTGCTAATATCTTTAACAGTCTTCTTGAAGATGTGAGACAGGCTTCTACTTTTACAATGATCAAATCCAGGTTAAAAACAGAAAACAGATTGATTTTATATTTGCTCTGTGTTATGAGTCGCCTTGTGTATGAACTGTGCTATACATATAAACTTGCCTGGATGTAATTCTGAACAGTGATATGTTTGTGTGAGCAGCACGCAGACCCAGAGGAAACCCTACCTCTCACAGACTCCAGCTCAGCCTTCTCCAGCTCTGGTAAGGAAGGACTTCATCTCGATTTACACCAAAGCTACGGCTGCAGTTCACTAAAGCACTCAAATACATAACTAACTGTCTACTAACTAACTATGGTTAAAAATCATTAAAAAGATAGACCTCTTTGTTGTGGTGACATCAGCAGTTCTCATTCTTGATCTAAAGAGTCCACTCTGTGTTTGATGCAGGCGGTGAAAGTAAAGCCCAGAGCCGCTCCTCCTCCACCGCCCCCTGCTGGAGCCAGGGCCGCAGCGCAGCCCTACAGCGCTGTCCGACAGGTGAGTCTTCAGACCAAACCTGGCAACCCCTCTGCGTCCTGATTGGATAAGCTGCTTGAGGAATGTGAACAAGGAGGTCATCATATGTCTACATTAAAGTCAAATCAGGCCATATATGTTGGGTACATGTTAATAATGACTGCGTCCATGGAAACTCAAGTTCAACTAATCAAGTATTTCTCAATTAAAAAATCCAAAAATGTATATCCCATCACAGTACTAACTAGGCCCTGCCCTGCTTAACTTCAGAGGTCTGACAGGATCTGGCTTTCACCTGCAAGTTTGTATAAAACTGGGGAATGACCCGGAACCATATCTTAAAGTCCGAATGAATCCACAGTAAGAAAGACTCTACAAATGGCGTGTTGTGAGCGTGACTGGTTTTGTTTTCTGTAATGGGGCGTTCAGACCGGATCAAGCTGCGTCCAGTTTCAATGTAAAGCCAATAGTGACGTCCGTTCAAGCATGAAACTGTGTGTTCGTCACGGCATGTGCAGGACCGTGCGGCAGACGCGGTGTTGGATACATCCAGCGAAAGCAGCAGATAAATATTGTTGAACTTTTACCTCTGGCCACACGTGCGGCAACCAATCAGAGAGCAGGTCACGGGGGTCACAAGCCAGTCAGAGCAAGAACCACCAGGACTAAACCAGGACTACACCAGGACTAAACCACATTAGCCTTCAGCCTAAGTTCTCATTTTCTGGTGAGTTTAAACAATTGCAGCTAACCCGTTGTTGATGCGTAAGTACCGTTCGATAATAAAATAAACTTATGGCGCACCTCAGTGAACACATTCTACTGTTATATAGTCTCTGAAGGTCTCTGAACTTTACACAAAAATCCGCTAGCTTAACCCTGTTAGCATCAAAGCCCGCCCGCCACTTCCCCCGTGCGCCACTGCAGGGCAGCACTTCATTCAGGTGACTGAAATTTAGTGACTGTGCGTCCAGTGGAAGCTTTGGCGGTCTGAACGCCGTCTGCTGCACCTTTGAAGCAGAAAGCCTCCCGCAGCACCACTCGTAGGCGACAGATTTCAGATACATGCCCGTGGTAGAAGCCTGGGGCATAAGCTGATGCGACGCACAGCCAAGCTCTCATCAGCCAACACACGTTTGCCACAGATAAAGGACGAGCTGAGGTTATTGGGATAATATCCTCACTCCCTTCTCTCTGTGGAGTCACAGACAATTGCCCGCAACAATTGTAAAGCGCTTTGTGACTCGTCTGTGAAAGGCGCTATATAAATAAAGATCACTTACTTACTTATCCTAAAACAGCCCATGTGACCGTCAGCTGCAGGGGGTCCATGTGGAGACGGGTTTAAGACCCTCCAGATCATACACTATATCATTGGTCAGAACAGAACAGTTTAACAGTGAGATTTCCTTTTGTGGTTTATTTACTATATTATTTATTTCAGGCCTTGAGACCGGTTCCTCCGCCTAAAGTCTGACACTGCCACCTGCTTCTAACAATGCACCTCAAGGAAAACGACTGCGTGGACCAGAGCGGACTTTTATGCTGCCATGAAAAAAGAAAAAGACTTCACTCCATTTTAAAGGCACTTTTTTTTACGTGGACGAGACACTTCTACTTCTGCTATTTGTGTTGATGTTTTGAGCCTTTGTTACATGAAATATTGCACAAGTCTAACATTGTCGAAAATGTGTGTGTGTCTGACTGTGTGTGTGTGTGTGTGTGTGTGCGTCTGTGTCTGTGTGTGTCTGACATTCAGATAAATCATTATAATTCATGCATTTCATGTTTATTTCATGTATTGAGTAACTGCTGTTTTAAAAATTCTTTCTCTGCAAAATCTTGTGTTTTGTGTTTGTTTATAATCACACCTTAACCTTTCACTGCCAACCTGTTTCATGGACTTTTTCTCTGGTCTCTCACTCTCTGGTCTCTCTCTCTGGTCTCTTTCCCTCTGGTCTCTCTCTTTGGTCTTGCTCTCTGGTCTCTCTCTTTGGTCTCAATCTCTGGTCTCTCTCTGGTGTCTCTGGTCTCTCTCTCTGGTCTCTCTTTCTGATCCCTCTCTCTGGTCTCTCTCTTTGGTCTCTCTCTCTGGTCTCTCTCTCAGGTGTCTTTGGTCTCTCTCTCCAGTCTCTCACTGATCTCTGCAGCTGTTTTTCAGAATGGAAAGACTCGAGGAGGTGGGTTGCTGCTCGAACAGCAGCTTGAGCTGCACAGAACTGAGAGGCTCTGTTTAAATGCAGCAATGAAGTGATGATGAGCTCAGGGGTGTAGTGGGAGGAGTCAGCGCAGAGGGAGGAGCAAGCCCCGGCGATACAAGATGGCGCCATACTCAAATCAAGGGCTGGTGCTCAGTGGTGCATGTGCCAGCACGGAGACCGAGAGATTAGCAGAACTCGCCTGTATTTGGGCATCGTCTGGTCCTCCCGGTTCTTCGCAGTGGACGAGCTCCCATGATGCTTTGCACCAAATACGTGTGTGTGGCTCTCGTGCACATGCACAGAGGGGCACGAGCCGAGCTCTGACCAGAGCGTGAGTTAGAGCAGGAGCCAGA